GAGGTCCTGGCTTGACCGGACTTGATAATGTGTACAAATATTATATTGCTAGACTTGATAATAAGGTGATAAATGCGATGAGCAAAATAGTTTGTCTGAGTAAAGAGAGACCCATTAAAGCAATAACAATAATTCAGGCAGACAATAAGACAGACCGACAGACAGACAGACAGACAGACAGACAGACAGACAGACAAACAGACAGACAGACAGACAGACAGACAGACAGACAGACAGACGGACAGACAAACGGACAGACAGACATTTTTGTAAAGTAAAGCACGTTGTAAGAGTACATTTAATTTTTCTTGATATTTGATTTGAACTGAGTTATGCGTCTATTACCACAGTGAGGGGAGCTCTGCAGAAAGTATTATAATAATTATTATTATCATTATTCTTGTTATTATCATTAATATTATCAATGTTCTTGTTATTATTATCATTATTATTGTCAGTATTCTTGTTATTATCATTATTATTATTATTATTATCATCATCATTATTATTACTAGGGATTTTGTTATAATTTAGCATTCTTATTAACACTACAGTCATGTATTATCAATATTATTGTTCAGCTTGAGTGCAGTGACTTCAGTTCATTGGAACACCTTCCAACTGCGCGCACTAAGTGACCTGTCGTTAGTGTTTGTTATTAAAAGGATTGGGTTAGGGGTTGGGGGGGGGGAGGTGGGGTAACCTTCTATTTATAAATAAAATATCAATAGCCAGATTATCAGTTTTCAATCAACGATTTCTATACAGAAAGAAAGAGGATTATGATAAAATAAAACCATCGCACATTTAAACAGAGTCCAGCAACAAAATGTTGACACTTTTATTTCGTTTACAAATCTATATACTTTTAGAAATATCTCTCAAACAAACGAAACTGTAGTTGTTGACACAAAAAAGTGCCTTGAATGGCGTTGATACGTATTGGAGAACATGATTTAAAGCTCGAGTACAAACTGGTGAAAGAAAAATCTTTTTACAAACAAATTATGCCAATATAAAAAAGGCAGAAACTGTTCCGTGTAAGTACAAGCTAGAACACACTCGTAAACACAGTGCATAGCCCCTACGTCTTCTTCTTCTCGTGTGTCTGGGAATCTCATTCAAAGAGACACATCAGTCTCGGTTATCTGCGAAATAAATCACAGCGGCAAATACTACAGGACGTTCCTTGTGTGTACCGGGTCTTCGTTACTTCACCGTGCCTCGCTGCTAAATCGTTGTCAAAAAGCTGGCCATAATAAACACATTAGCACGTGGTCCGTCTATTTGTCGGTGCACGTGGAGTTATCTTATCTTGCCCCGGCGCTCTCCTCTCGTCTTGGAGTTGGAGTTGGGAGTGAGAAGAAATGGCCGCCTGTTGTATGGACCAATGGGAGAGCGCGAAGGCTGTGAAGGGTGGCGAAAGCTGTTGAATAGTGGCCCGGAGGTGATTGACGTAAGGGGTGGAGCTATGGGTGAGGTGTTGCGTGACCGGCGTGGATCAATAGAGTGACCACGCGGCGCCGGGGAGGAAACGGCTCAGTGGACACCCGCGTGAGGCAAACGAACGTAACAACAACAACAATAAGGCATGTTCCTACGCCGAAGGGCGTGGCCATACCCTTATAAGGAAGAAGCCCTCATAAATCTCAAGACGCTGCTTGTTTGCACAGATATGTATCGGCTATCGATCCGAAGGGATTAGGACGGCTGTGATAGGCTCATCCTAGAACCCGGCAACTCTGTCAGTGCCCGGAAACCAGCACCGGGGTTCTCTCCCCTTCCTCTTGTATGTTACCTGTGTGGGATATGATCCCTTATCAGCATCCCTCTGGACGTGTTGTGTTTAGTGGTACAGTTTTATAGTCGTTGTATGGTTTTACAACTCAGGCTCTGCCTGACCATCGCACAAAGTGATTTTACACGTCGGTTTTCTTTAATGCCTTTACTACCTGAAACAAAACTCACTTTTGTGCCTTTCTGACAACGTCTTATTGCATCTCACTTCTGGATTTTGATGAACATTGTGTCTTTGGATTCTTTTTGTTCTTCTATATGTTCTACATTTGGCTACATTAACCAGGAGATCGGCGTTTCATTTCGGGTATTCTCTTTTCTTCGCATTTCCAGTACTTGGAACGAATGAGACAGGATAAAAAGAGATTTACAGGTATGGTCACTGTTGTAAACTCACATTTTATGGATTTATTTCTGTCACAGCAAATAATTTAGGCGGTCAGTCGATTGATTAATTTATTTATTGGTTCAATGGAAATATTTCAACTTTCTCATTGCACATGCTGATGTGTTTGTGTGTTTGAGAAAAAAGGTGGAGGGTGGAGGGTGTAGAAGGTAGATTTTAATCTGAAACTGACGTATAACATGTTGTCTTATGAGGATCCATTAACGGAAGTATTGTGTGGCTCCACCATCCAGTTTAAGTTTATGAGAATAATAGTATTATTATTGCCTATTATTATTTAGGTATACCTTATTATTATTATTATCATCATCATTTCTGTTATTATTATACGATAACAATAATATTACAATAACTTTATTAAAGATGTTGAATATACATTTAAGCCTAATACCGTATTTACATATTTTCCTTATATCGAGCACTGTAAATGATTCTCATTTTGAAAAAAGGAAGAAAAAAAAAGAAAGTTCGTAAAACAATGTAGATCTAGACCAATTCATTGGTTCATGATAATTATTCAGTACATTTTCTTCAAAAAACACAAAATGTAAAAATGAACATTCTCAGTTTACATGCCCTTCCCGCCCCCTCCCTGCATCTCTCTCTCTCTCTCTCTCTCTCTCTCTCTCTCTCTCTCTCTCTCTCTCTCTCTCTCTCTCTCTCTCTCTCTCTATCTCTCTCTCTCTCTCTCTCTCTCTCTCTCTCTCTCTCTCTCACACACACACACACACACACACATGCGCGCGCGCGCAAACACACATATGCGCATCGCATTCTTGAATGAATTTATAAAAATAGGCTCAGCTTTTCTTTTTCTTTTTCTATGTGAAAACCTTCCAAATTCCGTGACTGAGCTCATTTCTTTAAATTGCCGTAATGGTTTGCCTTCCAAACAAATACACAGACTGCTACATGTAGTATTAATTTAGGCCGGCTCTATTTCTCCGAACGTTCGGGAAAATAAACTTGAACTTTATTTCTCCGAAAGGGTTTCGTTCTGGAGATTTGTTGATAATAATTGCGAATGGCGTGGCCCGTATGTATGTGTGTGTGTATGTGTGTGTGAGTGTGCATGTGTGTTTGTGTGTCTGTATCAGTGTCAGTGTGTAAGGTGTGAACGGGGCGTGGAGGTAGGAGGGATTTTTTTTTTTTACATGAACGATTTTAGTTTTTCCTAGGTGACTAAATGCAAAATAAGTTACTGCCAAGGTCGATCAGTCTTGTTTTCTCGCAGTACCTTCTGAAGGTATTTTCAAATGAAGTATATTCCGGGCATGTTGCCCTAACCAGAACTGAAGTATCTGAATATTCAGACATTTAAAAATCTCTAGCTCTAGAAATTGAATTCGATGCAAAAAATGCTTCTTCCATTCCTCGCAGAATGGCAGAATGAAAGATGACGCCTAAATCTCGCAAATAACCAAAAAATATCGAGAACAGAAATCGTTCGGAGAAATAGAGTTCAAGTTTATTTTCCCGAACGTTCGGAGAAATAGTCACTTCGATTAATTTATAAGAAAAAGAGTCTTGTTTTTACTAAGGCTGTCTCATCTGATGATAATCCATGGCCTTACTTTTTTGTCTGAGTAAAAGTGTCCTGGGTTTGGACATACACGTGCATATAATATCTTTAAAAAGCTTCTTTTCTCTCTCTATTTTTTTTTTGGGGGGGGGGGGGCTCTCTGTCTTACTGTCTGCCTGTCTGTCTGTCTGTCTGTGGGGGGGGGGGGCGCTCTTTCAGTTTTAAAAAAATGCTGTCTTTCTCAGGCAACCACACTTTGGATATTCAATTGACATTAATATCACCAAGTCTTTTACTACACTCAAAACATATTTGTATACGCGATACAGTGTTATATAAATGCAATCCATTATTATTATCGTTATCATTATTATCATCATCATCATCATCATTATTATTGCTGCACTAGAACTACATAGTTTGTGCATAGTTTAGCTCAACCCCCTCCTTCCTTATTTTTTTTCTTTCTTTTTTATCCTTTTTTTTGGGGGGGGGGGCATTTTATGCCAAATCGGCAGCCGCAATAAATCACATTAAATCGTCATTGTCCACGTAGTCTTTGAAATATCCGTCCACCTTCCTCAAGCTCTCACCCACAAATCCTCCCAACAGGAGAAGACAGTTTGAAAACATCCCACTACTTTCACCTTACTCGAACTCTTAACTCTAACCCGCGTGGCTGAGGAAAAACCTCCAGTCCAGTCCAGCCCAGTCCAACAGCTTTGCCGATCTACCCCTGTGACGTCATCAAAATGCCAGAGATGACCACTGTGTGTCAGGATTCCGGAGGTCCGCAGTCCATGTTTGGGGCGCGGGGGTCCCAGGGGATGGGGTCTCTCCACAATTACTACAGCGGCCACAACGGCTACCCCAGCCCGTCCCCTCATGGGCAGTACGGTCCCGAGACTTATGGCGGGCATTTCCACGTAAGTCCTCAACTATATTACCCTGTAAGTCCTCAATTACTATAACTATTTCCATGCAAGTCCTCAACTATATCTCAGCTACATTTCCATGTAAGTCCTCAGCTATGTCTCAACTATATTTCTATGTAAGTCGTCAACTACATTTCCATGTAAGTCCTCAACTTTAATTATTTCCATGTAAGTTCTCAACGTTAATTTTTTCTATGTAAATCCTCAACTTTAATTATTTCCATGTAAATTCTCAACTTTAATTATTTCCATGTAAGTCCCAGGATAAGTTTTGTAGCATGTAAGTCCCAGGATAAGTTTCGTAGCGTGTAAGTCCCAGGATAAGTTTTTTAACATGTAAGTCCCAATATCAGTTTAAGATTCAACTGTATTTCCATGAAAGTTACAGACAGGATAAATTTTAGTAAGCTGTAAATTTGGCGATAAGTTGTAGTTACATATAGAGTCTGTGTTTTTTAATGCAAGCCCAAGGTAAAGTTTTAGAATTAAGTGTATTCCCTATAAATCTAAGGATAAGCTATCGCGTCATGTAAGTCCCAGGATACGTTGTAGAGAATCAGTAGTTTTTGTTTTTTGTTGTTTTTTTCATGTAAGGCCCAGGATAAGTTTTGTAATCAACTGTATTTATGTCTGACAAGTTTTAGTCAGCTGTATTTCCATGTATGTCAGAGGATAAGTTGTAGGTGTAGAGTCAATTTTTTTCCTCGGAAGTCCTGAGATAAGTTTTGTAGTCAACTGTATTTCCATGTACGAAAGTCTGACAAGTCTACTGTATTTTCCATGGAAGTACGAGCATAAATTTTTGGACTCAGCTGTATTTCCATCTTGTATGACAGTCTGATACTAAGTTTTAGAGTCAACTGTATTTCCAGGTATATAAGTCTGACGATATTCACCTTTATGTTTGTATCTCCATGTATGTAAGTCGGTCAAATAAGCTTTAGTCAACAGTAATTTCCATGTCAGTCCGACAGGTTGTAGAGTTAACTGTACTGGGACGTAGCAAACATGACTTGTTCTGTACACGGCGGTATTGTTGGGTTGTTGTTTTTTTATGCTTTTTTTTTTCTTTTTGCTTTTTTTGTTGTTGTTGTTGTTGTTGTTTACTCGCATTTGTT